CATGCAACAAATAAACAAATTTTAAACATGACGATTTAAACGATTGATTTTAAAAGGGCTTTAAGATGTACTTGAATTTAAGATTTCTCACGAAATCCGTTTTAAAGTCAAAATTAAATGGCCTGATTGAATTGGCTAGTTTTAGAAAGGCTTTTAAAGAGTATTTGAAATAGGAGTTCAAATGCTGCTCTGTTTGAAAGATATTTTTAGAACGTTTTATCTTAACTGAAATTAAGAAAAGCTTTAAGAAATTTAGTGATTCACTTATTTGAAATTATTGTTACAAATTATGAAAGTATTCTTTCTTATATTAAAAAAAAAAATGTTCCGCAAATTTTAAGAAACCCCAGTAAGTACAAGTTAAAGTTTAAGTTACAGTGGCGGCCTCATAGGAGGGTCGTCACAATGGGTAAGTCAGCACTAAAATGGATCACCTTGGCGGCAAAAATCCGTGCTATTGAAATTTGCTCTCGAAAATTATTTGTGATGACATTTAAGTTATTAGCAACGACATGGTTATTTTATCTAACGATGAGTAATTGCGACGACGCAAATATTGTATTATTTACGACGACATTTGTCGTCGCAAAAAATGTCGTCGCAAATGACCTTTATTGTTATAGTGTTGTTTACAATTGGCTCATATGGTTTTCTTAGGAGGAGCTTAGCTATAAATATAGCTCCTTCCTTTCTCAGTTTTGCATCTCATTCTCACCTTTCAGAGAGAATTCTCATAGTATGAGAGCAATTTAGTTTCTCCAGTTTTTTTTTTTTTTTTTTTTTTTTTTTTTTTTTTTTTTTTCTTTTTTTTTTTTTTTTTTTTTTTTTTTTTTTTTTTTTTTTTTTTATGAGGTGTTTCTCCTATTTACATGAGAGAGTGATTTTTATCGTTCTCTTTGTATAATTTAGAGAGAATATTGTAATCCCCATTTTTCATATTGAAATCCTTCTACACTTGTCTCATGGTTTTTACCCCATTATATTTAGGGGTTTTCCACATAACATACTCTATGTTCATAGTATTTTCATTAATACTCATTTCTTATTTTACCACTAAATTTACCAACAAGTGGTATTAGAACATTCCAGTAAATTACTATCGTGAAATAACAAGTACATTATTAAAAATATTGTTTGTAGTGGAAAACAATTATTCCTTTTAGTTCACTACTACAATTTGTCTAATTTGTGCGACACTTGTCGTCACAAATAATTCACTAGTCATTGCAAATATGTTGTTGGCGGCAAATGTTATCTGGCGCAAACATTTGCTGCCAAAATAATATTATTTGTGACGAAATGTCGTCGTAAATAAAGAATTATTTGCGATGTTCTTGCTAATCATAATTCATTCATTTTTATGAGTTTGCAATTCTAACGTTAGTAAATATTATAAGTAAAAAAAAAATCACTGAAAATTTTAGTGACTAAGAAACTAAATCAAGTAAATTAATTACATTTAAATAAGTTTACTTATCGCGGTTTGCGAAGTTGGGTGGTCAAATCAAGATGCCCTATTAGTTCTGCATCAACTAGCGTTTTTAATGACTCGTTAATTATTAAAAAAAGAAAAAAGTGTGACTCGTTGAATGAAAGGTAACAATAACTATCTCTTACTAAATGTCTCATCAATGAAGGTAAGAAATTTTGCCAAAGGTCGTTAGCAGGGAAGTATTGATCAAATTACTCGTGACTAGTCAAAGACTTGAAAAATAAGGCACGTTTTTTAAATGAATAGATTGGCAGAATAATCGAAGGGCATTCCTAAACTACCACATTCTTGGAGAAAAAACATACAAAAGAGCTCTACATAAAAAGAAACCAAGCAGGAAAGGCGTGCAAAATGAAAAAAGGAAAGAAAGAAGAACAAGACACGTGAACTGAAACGAAACACATATATTAAGACTGCCTTCCCATATCAAATCAAAATTGAGAAACTGTACTAAATAACCCATTTTTATTTTTATTTTCCTTTTTTTATTAAAAAAAAAGAACTATAAATGGATATCATTAACAACTTAAACTATCAGAATGAACAAGCAAAGAAATACGTGACGACATATAAATTCAAAACAAACAAATCAACAAAATTAGAAAGAGCATAACTAGCTAAGAAGCCTTGGAGCTCGTAAAATTTCTTCTTTGGTACTTCAATAATATTCTTCTACTTTGATAAACCACTTTGGTAATGAGTAAGCTGCGTGAATTTGAGGAATTAGTTAAGAATTAAGATTAACCTTTGTTTTCTAATTTTGATACTAATTTACTTTTCGCTCAAGTAAGTGTTCTACATTCTAGTACTTGGACTAGAGATGTAAACCAAGTCGGATACCTTTATTAATTAACACGGTAGTTGACAAATACTTCCAGCATCACGTCATACTACCTTCAGTCATACAACAGGTTACCTCCGGTAACACAGTATACAATACTTTTTTAGTATGTGCAAACACATTAATGCATAATATGTATTTCCATAAAGTAAATAAATAGTAGAAAATATGCCAATATAAAAAGCTTAAGAAAGTATATAGGTTAATTTTTAATTATAGAAATTAATAGGCCATAATTTGTTAAGTTATGGTTCATAACCAGATAAGTTATGGACAAATTTATCAAGTTATGGTTCATAGTCAGACAAGTTATGGACAAAAACCGTAAATTATGGACAATAACTTGTCAAGTTATGGTTCATAACTAGACAAGTTATGGACAAAAACAGTAATTTAGCCTATTTATTAACTTATGTAAACTATTGATCTATTAATTTTAATTCATCTCAAGTCTTGGTCTATTATCTTATGATTTATGATATAAGATTTGTTGGAATACATAATACAATTTTTAATGAATGTATCATAGAATGCATCCGGTATTTTACAACTTTTAAACTTTATGATATGATTTACGATTCGACAAGAATCAATTAACACTTAGATCGGCTGTCATTTAGCGTTGTTGACCTGGTATGTTACCTGTCGAGGAGTTTTTGGTATTCCGTGTGAAATCAGAATTTTATTTTCTGCTGTTATACGAAGAAATTTCTATATCAATGACGATGGCCCCAATTGTGGGCATTTTGAGACAATTTTTAAGGGTAGTTGGCCAATATCGATTGAAAGACCTCTCACTAGTCAAGTAGAGAATTATCACTACTATTATCATTTAATTTAGTTTAGTCAACAAGCAAAGTAAAAAAAAAAAAAAAAAAGAAGAAGAAGAAGAAAGAAGAGAGAGAAGCTAAATATGACTAAACGAGATAACGGTCAAAAAAAATGAAAGAAAAAAGGAATATATGGCCCGTCTAGAAAGTGTATTTGAGTTTTGATTCAATTTTTTTTTTGTGAGAAAACTATTGGAAATTTTTTTTTTTTTATTCAAATTCTTTATTAGAGTGTGGCGAAATGGTTTGAATACATGTATCAAATAACTCCATAACAAACCCATTGGAACACGTATTGAAAATCCAATTATACTAGCATAAAGCTCTCTTTTAATGGAAGTCCTTCATTTTTTCACCGTTTTGATCTCTTTTGTGTTTCAATTCTCTAGTGCTGCTCATATTGAGGCTGTAACTCCATTACAATCACTCACAGATTATGGTAACACTACTACTACTCTAATTTCTCCCACCCAAATCTTTGAGTTAGGCTTCTTCTCTCCCGGAAATTCGAAGAATCGTTACTTGGGATTGTGGTACAAGAGGAAGCCCGAAACAATTGTTTGGGTTGCCAACAGAAATAACCCACTGACCGGGTCAAATGGCGAATTGACAATCAAAGGAGGAAGCCTTGTTCTTCTCAACAGCACTAGGAGCATCATTTGGTCTGCAAATGTATCGAGCAACGCCGCAAGTAGTCCCGTTGCTCTGCTTTTGGACACCGGAAATCTTGTCCTTCAAGAGCAAGGGATAAAAACTCATGATGTTTACATATGGCAAAGCTTTGATTATCCTACTGACACACAATTAGTCGGCATGAAACTTGGATGGGACTTGAAAACAGGCTTCGAGTGGTACTTAACATCATGGAAAAGTGCGGATGATCCATCAACCGGAGATGTTACTTACAGGATTAGCGTAGTCAGTGGGCTTGCTCAAAGTGTACTGGCTGTGGGATCTGCAAGAAAATTTCGGACAGGGATATGGAATGGAGTTCGATACAGTGGCATGGAAGAGCAGTTTCAATCAGTTTACAAGATTTTGCATACGTTTAATGAGGAGGAGACATACATAACGATGGTGAGTACTATTGACTCTGTCATTTCATTTCGAAAGGTGAATCGTTCAGGTTCCTTGCAGCATCTTGTTCTGCAGAATGGAAGTTCTGAATGGGCTACTATGTACTCGTTTCCAGCTGATCAACTATGTGAGCATTATGGCTATTGCGGCCCTAATGCAGTTTGTACAAATAGCGGATCATATGCAGTATGCAAATGTATTGAGGGCTTCACGCCGAGGTCTCAAGAAGAATGGATGGTGTTAATGTGGTCCAAGGGGTGCGTGAGGAAGACGCCATTGGATTGTAGAGAGGGAGAAGGGTTTGTGAAGGTTGCGGCAGTAAAATTGCCAGATTTGATTGAGTTTTGGTTTAACAAAAGTATGAGCCTTAAGGACTGCAAGGATGCTTGTTTGAAGAACTGTTCATGTCAAGCTTATGCTAATTCTGATGTCAGGAATGGAGGCAATGGCTGTTTGATGTGGTTTAGTGACTTGGTTGACGTCCGAGAAAAGCATGTGAAAGGCAGTGATGATGATCTCTATATCCGATTATCTTCTTCAGAAATAAGTAAGTATGGATCCACTATGTAGTGGCAGATCAAGTTCTCCATATATTTTCATATGATCTCTTCGTAGAATTGCACAAATTATTTGAATTCTTGTTGTTGCTTGGTCCTTTCTAGAATCAATCAGTGATGGAAATAAGAAGAAAAAACTTCATACCATCTTCTGGGCTTCGTTGAGCCTTGGCACATGTATCTTTGGCGTTGCATTGTGGTGCAAAACCTGGAAACTATGTAATAGGCTAAAAGGTAAGAAAATGTTTCCAATACCACTCAAATTCTTGATTATATTTCTGAAAATCAAATAGGACGTATTTTACTGATTTTACATTGTAAATTAATAGGTAAAAGCAACGTTGAAGATGTAGACTTGCCTACATTTGATTTGGCCACAATTATAGCTGCAACAAACAACTTCTGCACCGAAAACATGATAGGAGCCGGTGGATTTGGTCCTGTTTACCAGGTTTTTTTTTTTTTTTTTTTCTTGGACAAATTGTAGCTTTGTTCTATTTCTTTATAATACTTTTACTCATGAAGTATACATTTATACAACACCAAGCAGGGGCAACTTTCTACAGGACAAGAAATTGCAGTAAAGCGACAGTCGAAAGATTCGGAACAGGGTCTTAATGAGTTTAAGAATGAAGCTGAATTGATTGCAAAGCTTCAACATAGGAATCTTGTTGCTCTTCTGGGTTGTTGTATTCAAAAGGAAGAAAGGATATTGATCTATGAGTATATGCCCAATAAGAGCTTGGACCATTACATCTTTGGTTGGTACCAAACCTTTGCAAAATAAACTTGTAAGGCTATTCAGGCATTGAGTTTAAATTTTAACTTATAAGGAGAAGTTCAAATTTTTTGCAGATGGAGAAAGATGCATGACACTGCCTTGGAACAAGCACTTCGACATTATTAGAGGCATTGCAAGAGGTCTTCTTTACCTCCACCAAGATTCTAAACTTCAAATTGTTCATCGAGATCTCAAAGCAAGTAATATTTTATTAGACAACAATCTGAACCCAAAGATATCGGATTTTGGTTTGGCAAGGACTTTCAGGGACGATGAGAAAGAAGCGAGAACGAGAAGAATTGTTGGAACATAGTAAGTTAGGAAGCTTGTCAATATTTTTATTTTCTCCTCAAATTCGCAGTTGTTTCTTATGACAAACTATATGTTTCTTGCAGTGGTTACATGTCACCAGAGTATGCAATTGATGGGAAGTTTTCTGTCAAGTCAGATGTTTTCAGCTTTGGCGTGCTCTTGCTAGAGACTGTGAGCGGTAAAAAGAATAGAAGATTCAAGCACCCAGATCATTACCATAACCTTTCGGGACACGTAAGAACAATGAGTGATATATCTGCCATGTAACGTTTTGGTTTATGTCTAAGAATTCTTTTGACTCTTTCAGGCATGGTTGTTGTGGAATGAAGGCAAAGCCTTGGATCTAATGGATGCGTGTTTTGAGGACTCATACATTGAATCTCAAGTGTTGAGATGCATTCAAGTGGCTTTGTTATGTGTCCAAAGGTTCCCGTACGACAGACCGACAATGTCGTCCGTAGTTTTCATGTTGGAAAATGACGGAGCTGTCTTGCGTCAACCTAAGGAGCCTGGTTTCTTCATCGAAAGGAGTCCAAATGATGAGTGCTCTACATCAAGAATTGAAGAAGATTCGCATTCTGTAAACGTAATGAGCGTAACAATTACCAGTGGTAGATAGATTGATCATGAGCATGTTAGTATTTACGTTCTTTTACTGCAAGCGTTGCGTCATAGAATGTAAAGATAACACTATTCATCTAATGAAAAAAAAAAAAAAAAAAAAAAAAAGGGCATCTCCGCTTCAATGATATTTCTAATCTGATGGTAACGTTCATTCTACTTTCTAAGCGGGTAAACTTCGTTTATATATATATATATATATATATATATGTCGCGCCTCGAAACAAGAGTTAATAACATGGAGACTCGTTTAAAAGTTAAATCTGATTAAGAGAGTAATTAAGCATTTGAAAATATGAAAATCAATCTTAAAAGTAAAACATTAAAAAAATTTTTAAACAAACCCCCACATTTTGGTAAAATTGGATTTGGAGAAAGTGGCGGGGATTTTTACAATTTCCTGATAAAACAAGTTCAAAACTGAGCATCTGGCATCATTCAGTTTCCCCCACAAGATATTTCATATTGTACATACATGAATAAATAAAGAAATAGATAAAGAAATCAACCACAATCTAAATATATTTAAGGTTTACAATCCATAGAATTTATACGTATCTTACATTGTACAACAAGGATTGAAGTGTGTACAACTTCTTCTCTTGAACCACACAAGCTAGAGTTACCTGTGTTGGTACTTACTCAGCACTGCTTCTAGCATCGCTTGTGAGGGGTTAAATACATTGAAACAAAAGAAAAAGGAGCAGAAGGCCCAATAGGATAGATTTTAGAAAACTTTATAAATAAATAAAAATGCACAGTCCCAACACATCAGCCGGAACCAAACATCTTTTTTCCGAAAGGAAAATATAAACTTAAATTCTAGATTACAGGCATCATCAAGTAATTTACTACTATGATAAATTACTTACACAACCAAAAGCAAAGCCTTATCACCACCGTAGTAGCCCGTACGGGTTTCGAGTCCTGCCTCCAAAGATACGATCTTCATATCCTGATTTCTAGGCCATCAGCGGGCTTACCAGTTCTTAAAAATATCTTATCTTAAGAAAATATCTATTAAAACTTTACGTCAGTTCACTATGAGTTCAATAGCAATAATCATACTATTGTCTTAAACTACTTTTCTTTATCAAGCATGTTTTATCTTTAAAACATTTACGTAGGCCAAAATACTTTAAAACAGGCTAACAATGATATGAACAAGAATATCCTACCTCTTTGGTAGAGTTCTACAGTTAACTTCTCGTCGCCCAAGACTGACTTCTTCTAAAGCTTAACTCTTGCCTTTCCGCTAATCCCACTATCAAAACAATGTTCTACGATTCAGACATCATTACCGAAACATGTCAAACTTAATCATGTCTAATTGTATCATACTAGTGTGCCTTTACTAAAAATCAAAATTCATAAACAATTTCTTAATTCAAATCATATTTTCTTTGAGGATTGGAACCCACACAAGAAAATAGGATAGGACAAGGATCAATGTAGCTAATCCACTCACTTTGAGTTCTCAAATGAAATTTGGTTGGTACTACATTGAATTTTGGGTCGAAATCAAGGTTTTTGAACATTTTTTAGGCAGGGAAAATGCACACTGGTCGACCGGTGGCAGAGAGGTTCATCTCCACCGGTCAGCCGGTGGAGAGGAGACCAGTCGACTGCCCCGGTCGATTGGTGCAAGCAGTGCAAGTCAGCCAAAATGGTCGTTCCATGGAGAACGAGGCCAAATCCTACAATTTTGGGGTTGATTTCAAGATATTCTCAAAAGAAATTAACAAAACTAGGTTCCAATCACTTAATCAAGTTCAAAGAATCAAAAATCCACAATTCCTAACATAGTTTCTACCAAAACCCATCAAAATCAAACTCAAACTGAAAATAAGTTCTACCAAAGAAAAATTCTAGGTTCTAGAGTAGATTTTTCAGAAATCTTACCCCAAATATTTCCTTTAGTGTTGGAAACTTCTTGAGGTTCCCGTTTTGTTCAAATCTTAGTCAATAACTCCCTTAGAGACAAATTTGAGAGAGGAGAGAGTGTGAGAGAGAGAGAGAGAGAGAGAGCGAGAGAGAGAGAGAGAGAGAGAGAGACGTGAGATGAGAGGGAGAGTGAGAGAGAGTGATTGGTTCAAGCTTCTTGAGACAAAATAACAAGTTTTGAGAGAAGGAAAGGGGGAGAGAGAGAGAGAGGGAGAGGGTGGCTGAGAGAGAGAGAGAGAGAGAGTGACGAGGGAGAGAGTGAGAGAAGAGAGAGTGTGAGCTGAGAGAGGAAAAGAGAGAAAAAGAAAGGAAAAAGAAATAAAAGAAAAATGAAAGGATAAACTTTAAAAGATATTTAGAAGAATGGATCAGAAAATGTGTCTCCACAAATTTCTGAGGTAAGAATATAAATACTAAAAGATATTGAAATTCTTTGAAAATATTTAATAAACACAATTAATTAAGAAAGATCAAATTAGGCACACTAATAGATCACAATTAACATAATTAAACCTGTTTAATTCTTCAAGGTGTTACAGCTCTACCCCTATTAAGAATTTCGTCCTCAAAATTAGAGCTTACCTCAAAGTGTAAACAGATATTGCTCATGCATCGTTGCTTCCAGCTCACATGTCGCTTCCTCAACACCATGGTGTTGTCACAACACTTTCACTAGTACAATGTCATAATGACACAAACTTTTTATCTTATGATCAAGAATCTGAACCGGTGATTCTTCGTAAGTTGTGTCATACTAGATTGAAACATCATACCATTGCACCATAGCTTTTGGACCGGGTTGGTATTTACGAAGCATAAAGACATCGAACATGTCATGCACATGAGATAACTTAGGCAGTAATGAAAGACGATATGCTGCGACACTAACTCGTTGCACAATAGGAAATGGTTCCGCGTATCTAGGCGCAAGTTTTTCTTTCACACCAAAGTAAGCAACTCCTTTGCGCGGGGAAACCTTCAACATAACGAAGTCACCTTCTTGGAATTCTAAAGGTCTGTGCCTTCTATGAGCATAGCTCTTTCGACGACTCTGAGCTGTTAGCAATCATTCTCGAATGATAGCTCTCTTCTCATTTTTTTTCTTGGATAACATCTGGTCCAGTGGTAATTTGATCCTCTGGCTCGAGCCAACAAACTGATGATCTACAGGGTCGACCACAAAGAGCTTCAAACAGTGTCATACCAATGCTACATTGATAGCTGTTCTTGTAAGCGAATTTGGCTAGATGAAGATACTTCTCCAGTTCCCACAAAAGTCCAAAACACAAGCACGAAGCATGTCTTCTAAAATCTAGATTACTCTTTCATATTGTCCATCAGTCTGAGGATGAAAGGCCATACCAAAATTCATTTCTATTCCTAAGGCTTCTTGACAACTCCTCAAATACCTTGCATTGAAGCGGGTGTCACGATCCGATGTAATGGACAATGGCTCTCCGTGAAGTCTGACGATATGCTCTAGATACAACTCTGCTAGGATCGTCTGGGAATATGTTGCACAAAATGGTATAAAGTGGACAGATAGCGTATCCACCATAACCCATATGGCATAATGCTTCTGCTCAGTCCTCGGTAGTCCCATCAAAAAGTCTATTGTTATGTGTTCCCATTTCCATCCCGAAACAGGAAGAGGCTGCAATTCTCCAGCAAGTTTTGGGTGTTCATCTTTAATTCAAAGACAGGTGGGACATTCTGATACATATTCACAAATCTCTTTCTTCATACCTCTCCATCAGTATTGCCTCTTAAGATCTTGATACATTTTCATACTTCCAGGATGAATAGCATACCGTTATTTATGAGCTTCGTGTAAAACTGCATTTTTGATCTCATCTACCTTAGGGACAGCTAGGCAGTTTCTGAAGTAGAGTGCCCCATCCTCTCAGATTTTTCAATCCGTAAGTTCTTTTCCATTTTGAATTCGAATCCAAATTCCTTAGAGATGGGGATCCTGCCATTGATTCTGCTTGACTATTTGCACAAGAGCCGGTGTGGAAATCAGATTATACACCATCGTCTGATTATAATCCTCGTAGTACTGAAGATCATAATCACCTACTACTATAGTCCTTTTCCAATCTTCCAAAATCAATGACACCAAAGTTCTCGAAGTCTTCCTGCTAAGGGCGTCAAGTACCACATTCATTTTTCCAGGATGATATAGCAGCATGAAGTCGTAATCTTCCATGTATTACATCCATCTTCTCTGCTTGAGATTTAGATCTTTCTGAGTGAACAAATACTTAAAAATTTTATGGTCAGAGAAGACATAGAACTTCACCCCATAGAGATAACATCTCCGTATCTTGAGGGCAAAGATGACTGCAGCCAATTCCAGATCATGACTGGGGTAATTTCATTCATGAGGTTTCAGTTGACGAGTTGCGTAAGCTACAACACGTCCACCTTGCATCATAACACATCCAAGTCCTTTCCTTGATGCCTCAGAATATACTTCATATGTCTCCTCGCTATTAGGTATGGTTAGGACTGATGCACTTGTCAGCCTGGTCTTCAACTCTTAGAAAGCATGTTCGCATTCAACATCCCATTCGAATCTGACTTCTTTCTTGGTCAATCGAGTCATTGGTGTAGTAATACTCGAGAAGTCTTTTACAAAACGTCGATAGTATCCTGGAAGTCTGAGGAAACTTTGAATCTCTGCTACATTCTTCGGTCTTTCCTACTGTAGTACAGTTTCTATCTTCGAATGATCTACTGAGATTCCTTGTCTAGATATAACATGACCAAGGAACTTCAGTTCTATTAGCCGGAAGTCACACTTCTCCTTCTTCACATATAATTGATACTCACGAAGAGTCTAGAGAATGATCCTTAGATGCTGTTCATGGTCATCCCAAGTCTTCGAATAAACTAGGATATCATCAATAAAGACAATTACAATTTAAGCCAAGTAAGGTCAGAAGACTTGGTTCATTAGATCCATGAAAGCCGCAGGAGCATAAGCATCACAAGAAACTCAAAATGCCCATATCAGGTTCTAAAAGCAGTCTTTAGAATATCTTCCTCATTGATCTTAAGTTGATGATATCCATACCTTAAGTTAGTCTTAGAGTAATACTG